ACCCCACCCCACCCCACCTTGTGCCCAAACAGCACTGGGAGAACAGACCTCAGGCCTGATCCTACCAGTACCTGCGTTTGAGTGATGCTGGAATTCCTCTGCCAGTGCTAAGGACAGGATGCTGTGGGCCAGCCTGGTGCCTGGCAGTCAGCGTGGCTGCCCCCCAGCACTCCTGCTCCAGCAGCCCCCTCCCCAGCCACGCTCCCAGCAGATTGTTTTTTGCAGTGAGTTCAGCCCCACGACTGAGGCTCCTGTGCTTTGAGACCATTTTTGTGTACTTAACATCACATTTCAGTAAAACAGTTCCCAAACTTATAGAAAATTGTATTTACACTCAAAAGAAACCTTTCCAGCCCACAGCCTGTCCCTGCTCCCTGGGTCACATCTGCATCTCTGCAGCCAGCTCAGCCTCTCAGAGCAGCTCCACAAGTCTTTGGAGGCTGTTGCTCCACACCAGGCAAGCTTGCCAGAGAGATGCTCCTGTGCAGGAGAGGAATGCTGTGGAGGAAAGGCCAAGCTCCCAGTCACCAGGCCCACCAGCTGAAGACCCTCTTGGCCCAGACACCCTGTCCCCTGTCATACAGATTGTGTCCTCCCCACACAGAGCGATTGCAGCTGAACTGTTGCTCTGGATCCCTCCTCTACAGATGACACAGCAGCCCTGGGCACAGGCAGAGTGTGGCAATGGGGCAGCTCCTGGCTCCTGCTAGGGCAATATAAGAACAAAGATGAGTCTGGCAGCAGTCTCTTCACTCTGCCATCATTTGAGATGGGTGTAACCTCTCCCACTCCTCTCTCTTCTGGTAGAGGCCAGGATGGTTGTTCTGAGAGAGAAACCTGAGCTTGTGGCCCTAGAAGGCATCCCTGAGCTGCCCTGGGGTGCCTGTGCTGGATTTGGAGAGGAGCAGTGCTGGGGGGTTCAAGAGGTGGAGAGCCTCCCGCAGCACCCTGGGGCTTCTTGTGGCTCCAGATAACAGACACCAGCCAGCTCTCCTCCATGCTAGGGAGATCTCCCCTGCACGCAGAGCCAGCTCTTCCTGGTGCTGCTGCCTTGTACTCTGTCCCTTGCCCTCCCCAGCTTGGTAGAGGTGGACAGTGAAGTCTCCTGCAGGCTGGTGAACGCCAGGAGGTCCAAGCTGGCACACACTGCCACTGGGAGGTACTGGAAGCAGAGCTGTCTCTACTGTGTGGCAGTCTGTGGAGATCATCTCAGTTCAGAGCTCCAACAGACCCCCCAGCTGTCAGATCCAAAGGAGCTGTGTGCCTTGGCAAGCCCAAAGCCCAGCCCCACAGCTCCTGGTATTGCTGTTGTGTCTGATACCCCCCTCTGCAGGCGCAGCTGGGGCCATCCTGCTGTGTGAAGGGGTTACCACCTGCCCTGCAGAGCTGTGGGGACCCCCAGTCCCACAGGGAGACAGGAAAGGATGGAGAGAGGCAGGACGTGTCCTTAGCCTGCTCAGAAGGCTGCTCCCCCCTTCAGGTGGGGGAAGGAGGCAGCAGGACCACCGAGGTATCTGGAAAGCCGTGTTTCCACTGACACTGAAATCAAAGAGAAGCTGGCAGGGCTCCAGGTCCTTGTCTGGAGCCTCTTTTCCTGCTCACCACCCTGCTGCCCCTTTGCCAGGGTAAGTGTTAAGGAATGCCCCACGTGGGTCTGCAAAGCTGGTGATCAGAGATGTCTCCTGGGGCCATTTGTGTTCAGCAGCTGGGATCTCATGGCCTGGATGCTGCTCAGAATCTTCTTCTGGTGTCCCATCATGGTGATCCCCAGACTCCGAATGTCCCTGGAGAGCAAAGACACTGTCAGACCCCCCAGGTCTGGAGCTGTGCTGGACCCCAGAGAGCCTCTGCCACGTGTGCACCCCATGGACCAGCCCAGGACCCCGTGCCTGGCTTCTCTTCACTTGTCCATCAACCCAAGGCTGCTGCTGCCAACAGCCCACGTCTGTCCTCCCAGGGACAGAGAGGCTGCCATTTCCTCAGGCAAATCCACCTGACAGGGCCACTGTGACAACCCTGGGGGGAGCAGGAGCAGCAGGGGGATCACTCCTGACAGGATAGTAGGTGACAAGATCGATGCTCTGAAATTGGATTCAGTTTTAGTGAGATGCCCTCAGATAACCCAGTCAGAAAGATGGATGGATGATGAGCCTTCCCCACTCAAAAGCTTTCCTGACGTGCATGAGAAACAAGGATTGGTATCAGCTCAATCCCACGGCAGCGACCACAAGTACAGCCCCTGATCAATGCACGGGACAGCCCTCTGTCTGCATCTCTCCATCTTCCCTTTCACTGCCTCCTTCTCCAGCTCCCACATCTCCACCACGGCACGCGCTGTCACGTCCTGCCCAAGTCACAGGAGTTACTGTCTGACAGCTCCATGCCTTCTGACAGGCAACAAGTCTCCTCAGAGGCAGGAGAGGCTGTTGCCAGCCCTGACACTAATGCTAACTCCAGGGGATGTGGGATGAAAGCCCAGGGCAGGCATAGTTGCTGCTTTTTCTGGTACTGCTTGGAGCATCAGCCACTTCAGAGACCCCCTAGACAGGAGGGACAGCAAGCTCCTTACAGCAGGAGGAGGAAGATGAGTGTTGGGACACATGTTCCCAAGCCTTCCTTCCTTAACCCCAACAGTGGTCACTGGGCTATGACCTTCCAGTCACACTGAGGCCCTGGCTGGTCCCTTCCTGCCTAGATGCACTGAAGAGGGAGCTGGTCCAGTGCACTGAAGTCTGAAGAAACTCTGAGGTGCCCCACAGCCCCGTTTGTTTTGCAGTGGTCCCAGAGAAGCTGTGCAGCGTGGCACAGCCACACTCAGGTCCAGACATGCCTTTTGCAGGGAAAACAGACAAGGAGGGCAAGGAGACAGTAACTTCATGTCTGAACCTGCTCTGGTCAGGAAGTTGGATTGTAGGACCTCCTGAAGCACCTTAAAACCCAAATTACTTATAAATCTGTGGTGATGTTGAAGAGCCATCAGAGAGCACCAGAGATGACTTGGTACTCACCCTCTGAGTACAACTCCCACATCTACTCTCACAGGTCAGTACAGCCTTGGACATTGTCCCAGGCCTCAGTGCTGTTTCCTTAGGATCCTGTCTCTGGCATCAGGGACCAGCTGCATCGAGTAAGCCAAGGCAGGGCAGTGGTGGTTTGGGGCTGGTGGGATGGTGCAGGGCAACCCAACGGGTACTCACTCGATATTCATGCGCATCACCATGCCCAGGGAGGAGTACCCTGCCATGGCAAAGTTGTCCCGGTAGTGCCCCAGCCGGATGGACTCCAGCCAGTCCTCCACTGTCAGACAGCTGGCCAGGTCGAGGAGACCCCTGTCGAAGGGTGTTTGGGTGAACCTGGGAGCAGGACAGAAGGAGTTAAACCAGGAGGTGTTGGTGTGAGGCTGTGAGGTCCATCTCAAAGCGCCTGTGAGCCTGCAGGTGAGGGCAGGACAGAGAAAGTCCTCACAGGCTGGTACAGGCAGGCACAGGGCACTGCTGCACATACCTGACCAGACCCTGGCACGGGGATGCCACAGTGGGAGCAAGGCAGGGAAGTGCAGGATGCTTCCCACTGCCCACTACAATCTCTGCCCATGGGCCCTATGCATGGCCACGCTCACAGGGGGAGCCACTGCTGCCACAGCTGGGCAGAAATCACAGAATCACAGAATGTCCGGGGTTGGAAGGGACCTCCAGAGATCAAGTCCAAACCCCCTGCCAGAGCAGGACCACCTGATCTAGGTCAGGTCATACAGGAACCCATTGGAACGGGTCTGAAAAGTCTCCAGGGAAGGAGACTCCACAACCTCCCTGGGGAGCCTGTTCCAGTGCTCTGGAACCCTGACAGTAAAGAAGTTCTTCCTCATGCTGAGGTGGAACTTCTTGGGGGCAACCAGGAGCTGCCACCCCCTGTCTGTGGGGGGGCTGGGGAGCCCTTACCTGTTGACAGTGGCTGTGCACTTCAGGCTGTCGGGGCTGCGGATCAGCTTGTCCAGGACGAGGACGATCTGGGAGAAGCGTGGCCTCTCGCCGCGCTCCTTCTGCCAGCAATCCAGCATCAGCTGGTGCAGGGCCGTGGGGCAGCCCATGGGGGCGGGCAGGCGGTAGCCTTCCTCCACGGAGTTAATGACCTGGGAGGGAGACACACAGTCAGAAGGGAGCTGCAGCCCTGCCTGACCCCCAGCACGCCAGACGGCAGCACACAGGGAAGGTCCCCGGTGTGTGAGCTGCTGGGGACCTCAGATGGGGGACTGGGGAGGTGTACACAAGATCCTTGCTAAAGAACAAGGGGATTGCCAGCCATGTGTGTGCAGTCTCTGCGGAGGGCTGGAGGCAGGCTGGGTACTGCACTCAGACAAGAATCCACTGCTGTGACAGTGGGTTTATTAGGCGGTCCAACAGGCCTAAAATATTGCAGCTCCCTTCCTGCAGACCAACCACAAGAGCTGCACTCACTCTCAGTTATTCTACAGCTGAGACTTGCCACCACTCAGCAAGGCTGGAGGACACCCTGCTCAAAGGAGCTGTGCAGAGGAGGTAGGGTGAGCCATAGCATCCATGCCCTGCTGTCACCAAAGCCACTTTCTAAAATAATAAAAACACTAGGGAGTGAGGGGACTCTTAGGACTCCCAGAGCAGGGAGAAGGCGAGTAGTTTTATAGTCCCTATAGGTAAAAAAAGGAGTCCTTTGGTTCTGCAGAGTCAAAAGATTAATTTTGTTGCTCCTTTTGGAAGGTTTGCTCCCAGGCTGTAGCTTGGTCCCTACGTTTTCCTACTGTTTTTATGCCACTCTTGAAGTGAGAGTGGCTCCATGTAACTCTGGCAAGCTCAAAGCCTACCCCTGCCAAGTGGTGCAAGCCTGTGGCTCTCAGCACCCTCACATGGGTGGTGGAAGGGGTGGACCCCAGCACTGGGTGCAGGAGGGACTGGCGTGCTAATGCAGGGGGGCTGCAGTGATCCTAGAGAAGTCCTGATCCCTTCCAGGGAATGGGAAAGGTGCTGAACATGTGCTGAAGCTCTCCAGCCAACAGAAAGGCTTGTTTGGAGAAGCAGAGAGGGATGGGGAGACCCACAAGGCACAGCCACGAGCCACGGTGCTGCAAAGGCAAAGGCAGCGTGGTGCCACGGTGGGCAGCACCCTGATGTCCCCGCGGAGGGGACAAGGACTCTGTGCACAGCCTGCTGGGAGGGGACGAGGGGCACAGGCTGCTCTGTGGGTCCCTTCCCCCCCCCTCCCAGCGGGGCTGGATTTGGCGAGGGCAGGAGGAGAGGCAGGTTTGGCAGCAGGCTGCCCCACGGGCACTCACGTCGCGGTTGGTCATGTTCCAGTAGGGCCGCTCGCCGTAGGCCAGCACCTCCCACATGACTATCCCATAGCTCCACACGTCGCTGGCCGAGGAGAACTTGCGGTAGGCGATGGCCTCCGGAGCCGTCCAACGGATGGGGATCTTCCCCCCCTGGAAAAGCAAGACACCCGTGGAGGCTCAGCCATCCCTACCTCTCCGCAGCTGGGATGGCAGAGGAGACAAGTGAAACGCTGGGATGGCACCTTCTGGAAAGGACTGAGGAGGTAGGCTGAGCATGATAAGGTTTACCTGAGGGATGACTTCAAGGTATTTCCAGTAGAGCAAGGAGAAAGCTGAGCTGTTTTACAAGGTCTTCTTCATGCACAGTTCTGGCCCACAGCGTTCAAGAAAGAGGGATTCAAAGGGATGAGGCAGAGCCGAGGGCTACTGGAGCACAACACCGTGGAGGTGACCCTGGGTGCAGGCAGAGAGCCTGACTTGAATAGACAGAGAGCGATGGCTTGTGCTCCCTGTCTTTGGGAGGGAAGCACTGAGGAGAAGGGCTTGTTGAATTAAAGGACCGTGCTGACAAGAATCAGCAATATATGGGCTAAGAATTCATTGAAGTTGGAAATGTGGTTGCCAGCCATCTGAAGAGGACAGTTGTGGTGTAGGGAGCATCAAGGAAGTTCCCCAGAGCAGACGGGGCAGGCATGATATGTCTGGGAACACCTTTCAGGCTTCCCTCTCTGGGCAGAGTTGCTTCCACCCGAGTCCTGCCTACTCTGGCACATTCTTTGATGGGGACTGAAGATGAGTGGTGTGTGTTTTGGGAGAGTCCCTTTGGGAAAGCTATATCCCAAGCAGGTGAGGACAACAGAGGAGGAATACAGGAGACCATCTTATCACAAGTTTCTGAACAAGAAAGCATCTTCATTTTCAGGACACCCTGATGGAAACCTCAACAAAGATCTCAGTGCTCCTGATCCTGTCAGTGCATCCTTGTGGTTCAGCTCTACCCAGACTATGCACCTACTCTTCTTCCAGAGCAACCATCTCTTCTGGGTTTCAGGGCGCCAAGATGCCACAAAGCCTCTGCTTGTGACATTCCTGGTGGCTGCTCCATCCTCTAGTGACCTCCCTGCTTGCATTCATACTGGGGTCATGAGACAGTATCCCTAGAAACTGGGCAGGATTGTAAAGGGTCAGCAGGTAGGTCAATACATGAGCTCTGGTCACTCAGGTCACCTTCCTAACCCAGTGTGGTCACCAGAAGTGGAAATGGTTTCCACTGTCTCTGGAAATTTGTTCACAGAGATTAAAAGTTTTGGGGGGAGCTCAGAGACTGTCTTGCTGGGAGGAGTACCAGGCTATGTGAGTGTCTGTAGGCCACAGAAAAGGAGATGGGCTGCTCTGACATCAGGAAGCCCCAGCTGATCTCAGGCCCCTTCTCACCCTTCCTCTGAGAGGACCAAAGTCAAGATGCAGAAGATGCTGTCCTTGAACCAAGCAGTGGGAACCTTCTCCAAAGTTAAAGCATCTGGATTATCAAGTTGTTTCTTAAGACACCAAAGGGAATAGCTGAACACAAAGCCACCCAGGGCACATTCTGGCTCACTTCTCCACTTGGCTGAAGCCAAGCTGAAATCATGAAGACCATGTTCTCCAGGCTGGGCCACTGTGCCCTCACCCTTCAGAGTTGTAACCACTTTGGGCCATGCTCTGCATTGCCGTCAGCTATCCCAAAGTAACCTGAACCTCTTTCTGCTTCTCTAGTCCTGGTCCTTCTGAAAAAATGATGCTCTGACTCCTCAGCTGCAGCTCCAAACTGGCCTCCATCAGGAACTGTCTATCCACCATGTTTTCCCAGACAGAGATGTGTCTGGGGAGCACACAAATGCCTTCCATGGCCAGAGAAGAGCAAAAGAGCACGTTCCCTCAATATATTTCATTTAGCCTCTGATGATCTTCAGTGGAAGAGCACATCAAGCTCCAGAGATGTCAGATTGGCCAGAAAAAAACACTTAAAATGGCTTCACAGAAAAAAATGTTCTACATTAAACCAAAATCACATAGGTTGCAAACCTCTCAACACCCTAGAATGAGGCAGTCACATGGAAAGACCAGTGTGTGGCCAAACAAAAGTGGGTGGACAAAAACCAGTGGGTGGCCACGAGGCTGAAGTGTGTACTATAACATCCACCTACCGACTGGTGGCTCTAGGACTATGGAGGGAGTGGAGGGAGATACACAGCCAAGGGCTGGGCTCCAGTGAGGACGTGGCCGTGTCCCTGTGCAGTGGGCCCACAGGAGCTGTCGACTGGAGAGGTTTGAGCAGCCTGCTCTCCCCACCCTGCTTCCCGTTGCACACTTCTGGGATGTCCCCGTACGAAGGACGATGCATCAAGGCTCAGCAGCTCTTTAGGGCCATACCCTTGGTGCAGGTATCAGCAGTGACTGCCTCCATTCCTGCCCTGTCTACAGGGACTTGGAAGTGCCTGACTTTTCCATCTGCCCGTGGCTTGGGGCAATCACCACCAGCCAGGCCCAAGCCCCCGCGCTGCCAGGAGCCACGCACCGTGGTGGTGTAGGCAGCGTCGGGGTCATCCTCCAGGATGCGGGAGAGGCCGAAGTCAGACACCTTGCAGACCAGGTTGCTGTTCACCAGGAGGTTGCGGGCAGCCAGGTCCCTGTGCACGTAGCCCAGGTCAGACAGGTACCTCATGCCCGCCCCGATGCCGCGCAGCATGCCCACCAGCTGGATGATGGTGAACTGCCCGTCGTGTTTCTGGAAAGGAAATAACCCAGGGTTCATCCGTGGCTTTCGCTAGCATCCTCTTGATTAAACTGACCCCCCTACTACCTCTCATCTCTGGCTTGGTACCTCCTCTAACCCCATTGCCACTCTCTTGTCCCCCCAGCCTCTGACACACTGTGTGGGCAGCTGTGCCTCTCTTTGCAGTGCCAGGCTTGGGGAGATGGTCACGATGTCCTGGAGCCTGTGTCTGCTGGAGAGGTGAGGGCTCAGAGCACACCAGTCCCACACAGGGCTTGCAGTGGCCACCAGGCTGAGGAGCAGGACCAGACTCTCCTCCAGTCACTCAGCCCAGAGCAATGTGCAATGAATAAATATCAAAGCAGCTCCTTACCCTGAGGAAGGTGTCTAGCGAGCCGTTCTCCATGTATTCAGTAACAATCATTACCAATTTGCCTGCAGAAGACAAGGGAGGTCAAGTTAGCAGAGAAGTCACCTTCTTCCAGGAAGCCCAGTTCCAGGCTTTTACTGGGAGGGACGTGGATCCTGTGGATCTCCCACAGCCCTGCAGACTGGTCTCACCTCAGCACAGCACAGGATGACCACCATGGTGGGATGTGGCAATAACCCTGACACTTACCCCTCCCTCCAGGTGCTATGGATGTGGCTAGGTCAGCTTCGTTATCCCACTGAAATTTGCATGCCATTAGCATAATGCTTTGCATCAGAATGTACCTCTTTGAAGGAAGACTTCAAATTATGATTCTATACAGGCAGCCTTTAAAATAAACGCTAATGGGTAGGACATAGCCCAGACCAATGACCCTGACCTGAGGTGTGGGGTGGAGCCAGGTGTGGAACTGCCACAAGGAAAGTTTGCACTAGAAGAGAAAGCAAAGGGGTGGGGTGGAGGGGACCCCGGGCAAAGGGACATCTGACCAGTGAGTAACGGGGCAGCTGAAGGATGGAGTACACACAGAGTGGTCCCTGGCCCCCATCTCCCAGGCTGCCCACAGGGAGACACACCCCAGCCCTGCCCCACCGCAGCATCCCATCCCCAGCAGCCACATACTCCTGGTCACCACCCCCTCCAGGTGGATGACGTTGGGGTGGTCGAACTGTGCCATGATGCTGGCTTCGCTCAGGAAGTCCCGCCTCTGCTTCTCCGTGTAGCCTGCCTTCAGGGCCTTGATGGCCACGGGGATCTCCCTCTTCCCTGGCAGCTTCAGGCGGCCGTAACACACCTCTCCAGACTCCCCTGCAAGGCAAGGTGAGGGCATGAGGAGCTCCTCGGGTTCTTGCACTGGCCCCCCAGCAGCACGGGTCACCCAGGCTGCCTGCATGCTCACAGCCTGCTCCAGCCCCTCGGGGCTCCGGGGCTCTTTGTGTATCCCTGTCTCTGAGCACAGAGGATTGCCCACATCCAGCTTCCAGTGCCACCTCTGGGAACTGGGCAGAAATATCAGAAACCACCTCTCTGTGATGCCTCCCTCCTGAAGATGAGGGGCCAAGAGTAGTAATTAGAATGCCAATTGGTCTACTGCTTTTAATGAATAAATCCGGGAGCAGCAGGGATGTCTCTCAGCCAAGCTTCCTAATGTCTCTCTGGGTAAGCCCTTGGGGTGCTGCTGGTCAAATTCCAGCTCCATCTGCCCCGTGCTTCCCTGCAAGCCCCTGGATAGGAACCTAGGCAAAAATCCTTTCTGTTCTGAAAATGTTCCATTGTGCTTGAAATTTCATTTTCATCTTGTCACCCCAGCACTTGCTCTGCAGTTTGAGAGCAGGGTGACCACACTGGAGCACCCACGTGGGACACACTGAGCCATCTGCTGTGTCAGCCTGAGCTGCTGCTGCCACGATGGCTGAGCAGCAACCCTCTGCCCCAGGCTTCCTCCAAGGAGTTTATATCATGAACCAAGAAACCCCCGTTCTATCCATGATTTTGATCTCAAAAGGATAAGGAGAAGGTGAAGCTCTGGTTGAGAACTGTGGCTGTGCTGCTCAGCCTGCTGTGCTCCCAGCGGGCCGTGGGGAGGGCACAATCTTAAGTCACGAGTTTCCCTGAGCAGATGTGATGCAAAGAGGCAGCCTGGTCTGGGGACTCACCAGACCCAATGACCTTCTCAATCTTGATCCGGGAGGCCTCGATTTCACGGGTGAACTCATGCACAGCCTGGCAAGGGTCCTCGTACGTGTGGGGGTCCACATAGAACTTGGACTCGGGGAACTTCACTGCCGGGTTTCGGAGGGAAGAGAGGAGATAAGCTCTTTCAGGCAGCCCTGATAAGAAGTAGGGGCATCCAGCATCCGGACAGAGGATGGACAGTGACAGAACTTCCTGGGAGCCACAGAGTTTGCAGCCCCAAGGAAACCTAAAGCACACTTCTGGCATGGCAGCATCCTTGGAGCAGTTCAGGACCTGGCTGTTCCTCCATGTGATTGTCCCTTTACATCACCTTCCCCACCCCCACCCCTTGCCTATGATGAATTTTCCACTCTTCCAGCCTGCTGCTGTCTGGGATGAGCCTATCTCAGTTCCATCTGACTCTGTGCAGCCCTTCAGCCCCATTACCAGGATGTCCCTGGGATCAGAGACCCAACTCAGCTCACCTACCCACATCCCCAGAAGCAGGCAGTGGTCAAAACCCTTCCCCCTTGAAACCACAGCAGTACCAAGGGTTAATGGTCCAGGTCCCTGCCCATCTACAGGTCTGAACTCCTTCACACCCCAGGGACAGTAGCAGGAAGGGTCCTACCTTGCCCATTCTGATAATGCATCTTCTCCTCGTCGGAGTCCTGGAAAGCCTTGCTGTACCCACAGTGCCTGCCATGGGGACACAAGGGTCAGCAGAGGTGCTCCTGTCCCTCACGCCCACAAGCAGCCCAGGAGGGTGGAAGGCAGCGTATGCCAGGCCTGCAGACAGCCCAGGAGAAGCTGGAGCTCACACTGGGCCTGGCATAACACTGCCAGCATGAGGGGAAGGTCTGCAGACTGTCTCTGCCTCAGGGAAAGTGGAGGCAGGTTAGCCCCTAAACAAAGTCTCTTTGCTGCTGGCTGACACCTGACCTATGAGTGCTCTGGACAAACTCAGAGAAGTTGCACCTAAGTTCTCCCATTCCTCCTGCCTCACTTGGTGACAAGCCACACGAACCTCTAGAACACACGTACCTCTTCTTGCAGATTAGGACCACCAGCAATGCCACAAGGCCAGTGATGAGTGTCAGGCAGATCCAGACAATCGTCATGGTGTCGTACCGAAGAGAGACTAGGAGAAGCAGGGCAGGAATGAGGCGAGCTGGAGTGGGGAGTGCTCTGCTGAGCTCAGGCACTTTCCTACCCCAGTGGGGTCATGGTCTTCGATGATAAAACACCACCCACCATCCAGCCCCAGCTTTGGGGCTCTCCCAGTGTGCAGGGAGCATTTACACATGGGGAAACCAAGCACAGGTCTGGGAAAGCCGTGGTGGTATCACAAACCAGTGCAGAGAGCAGTCTGGAGCCTCAGGACCTCACCAGGTCTTCCCTGCCGTATCTGCTATGTCTTTCCTCCCTCTTCTTTCTAATGGATAAACACATCTTAGGGAGGGCAACCTCAAGCAAACCCTGCAGGCTGAAAAGCTCTGCAGCCCCAGGAGATGTGCCTCCAGCCTCCCTGCCTGTGTGGCAGAGGAACAATGGCCATGGAGAAGGGCATCACCACCCCCCATGCTCCCTGCCCCACACTTCCCACGTCCCACGACCACACACACTCACCTGGCTTCCCTGTTTCTGCCTCCACGGTCTGACTGAACCTCCCACAGCCAGCAGAGGTACGAGCCCGAACCTGGAAGATGTAGCGGGTTGCAGGCTTGAGCCCAGAGATGGTGGCAGTGGTGCCCTTGGATTTCAGAGTGGAATAGCTCTGCATTTCCTTGTCCTGGGGAAAAACAACACCAAGGCTTCCTTCACGGCAACCCCACAGTCTTCTAAAGCAAGGCTGGCTGACGGCAGCAGTTGAACCAGCAGGGTTTAGACTGGGCCATGCCCCTGTCTGAACCTGCCGTGCTGGGAGTGGTGTGCAGCAAGCTCAGCGTTACCTTCTCATAGTACTTGATCTCATACTCCAGGATGATGCCGTTGGGCTGGTCTGGCTCTTGCCACAGCAAGGTGATGCTGTTCTGGCCTGTGCTCTCCTGGCGGAGCACCACCACCTGGGAGGGGGCTGGGGACACAGACAACAGGGTGTGAGATGTCTCCTGGTGGGGGTCCTGCATGGGTGGGGGCAGAGGACACAGCAGCAGAGAAGGGTGGAATTGGAGCCCCATGCAGGACCCCTGTTTTAAACCCTGTTTCCATTTTAATTAAAGCCATGTGGAGATGAGTGCTGAGAAGGGGCTTGAAAACAGGCTGTTGTTTGCTTCAGTTGCTTCAATCTCTTTCCTATGGAGTGAGCAGGCAGCATGGAGATGAAAGAGAAGGGCACCGACCCAGCACAGACAAGAGGGGACACGTGCTCCACTGCAACCTGGAGCCAGAAAGGAGAAGGGGCTGCAGGGCTGGAAGTTGTGGAGGTGTCTAGCAGGAACCTGACGCCTCCTGCCCCACCTGGGGATAGGGGAGAGGGGAAGGGGAAGAGGAGGAGGGGAGAAGATAAATGTCCAGAGGGGTGATTAGAGACCGAGCATAAGTCTAAAGGTGCCCTGGGGGTGATCTCCTGCCTTGAGATACTCATCCTCTGCCTGGGCCTGAGCTGGGAGCCTGTGAATTGGTCCTTCTACCTGTTGTACCCAAATTGGTACTGCCAGAGCTGGAGTAGCCAACACACCAGCCTCTTTTCCCTCTTGGAAAATCCCCCCTGGAAGAACCCCAGAAAGCGTGGTGGGCTTCTGTGATGGCCAGGCACAGCTATGGGGTCTGACTTATGGAAAGGGGTCAGGCACCCCTTATGACCCTAACTGCAGAGTGAAAAAGGGGATGTGATGGCTCTGGGGAAGATGGAGCTGCTGTCTCCGTGGCTGCAGAGCAGGAGTGTTGCTGGAGCAGCACGGGCACCAAAAGAGGCCAGGGTCTGCAGCAGCAGTGATGCACATGGGGACTGAAAAGCAGCAGTTATAGCTCATTTCATCCTCAGGCTGGCTCCTCTGAGAAGCAGAAATCACTGTTGAGACACAGGACCTTGAGGACCTAGGACAAGAGTGGAGTGGTGGGAATAACCTAAACCCATGGCACATAAAACACCATCTCTCCAAAGAGCCCTGAGGCATCTGCTGCGCCCCCCCCTGCCCTGCACAACTGCCCAGGGCTGGGGGGACAAGAGTGCCCAGCACCCAAGCAGCACAGCAGGGCTCCCTCAGCCCCTCCTCGTGGGCTGGGGTGCTCTGTGGCGTGCAGCAGCTGGAGCACCGTGCACACACAGCAGCTAAGTTTCAATTACTGCCACGTTCCCAACCCTGCTGTGTCCACAGCACCTGCTCAGCACCCGCTTTCCCACAGAGAGGCTGAAATTCAGCACTTCTTAAGAGCGTCCCACTCCAAGGCTGATGCTGCTCACCAGCACTTGGAGGGACTGTGCAGGAGGGAGCCAGGAGGATGGAGCATTCCCATGGGGGCTCAGCAGAGTGCTGGAGAGGTGCTGTGGACAGGAATTAGTAACAAAAGGGTCTTGTCCTCCTGCCAGCCATGAGCTACTGCAGTGAGGATCCCCAGGATTCTCCTGCTGGCACCACTGCTGGGAGAGCAGCTCCTGTGCTCATTTCCAGCAGGGAGGAATAACAACAACTCAGGAAGCTCCTGTGAGCTCATTTCCAACAGGGAGGCATAACAAGAAGGGTCATTCCCGGCCCTGTCCTCTGCCTGCAGCATGTCCACAGAAAGGAGCTTAGCTGGGCTCTGCTCTGGGAGATGCCCAGATGACCCTGGAGCAAGGTCATGGCCTACCTGGGCTAGCACATGGCTCAGGAGTATTTCCTGGGGAAAGACCATTTCACAGCAAGGGCTTTTCAAAGATGAGACATGCATGAGAGAGACTTTCTTCAGCAAATGTTGCTGTCACCTGCCAGGGCCTGGCACTGGTGTGAGCTAAGAGCATGAACTGCTGCTTGGCCCTTCGGGAAGGGAGAGACAGCTGAAGGAACAGCCTGAAAGATTCATGCTCCACTTAGTGTTCCTGTCAATA